TGCAGAGGCAACTTTAACAAGAACCAATTACAACGTGACACATGGCGCGTTGTTTAGCTATAAATGATCTCTTTCAGCTCTTGTTTTGAAGGGGGGGGGGGGAATGGTAGAAAAAAGGAGGATACAGATATTTCAACGGAGGAATAGACCATTTCGGTTAGACAAGGATCAGTTCAGAGTTCTGCAAGCTACAAGCAGAAAGTGGCCATTCCACATAACCAAGAATCTAATCCAGGTTGGTGCTCACAAACCTTCCTTTTGATAATACCTCATTTTGTTCAAGATTTTCTCAATGTGAAATCATTAAGCACTTAATTATCACCGTGATTTGCTTGCGCCAATCTCCTTTCATTGAGTTGAGTTATTTTAAAAGATGAGTAATTATGGATTGCTTTAGCTATTTATTACTTCTGCCCATCTATTTACCCACTATGCTTTCGATTTCGCTTCTACAAGGCTTTATACTTGCTGTAAAGATTTTTAGTTTATCACTTCAACATAAGCTATATTTTGTCTAGCTTAATTTCTGCCATATTAAAATTCCTTCATTTTGTTTAGAACATACATAGACAAAAGTTAAGAGTAAATAATACTGTGTTTAGTTCGTGATCTACCAAGATCCAGATCGAGCAAAAATGATCCAAACAAGTAGAATTCAGATTTCAAGAACCATTTCAGAGAAATCACTTGCAGTGGCCATGATTAAGTATAAAATCAATACCTATTTCACATTAAAACCATCCCAAATTAGGAATCCATAAAAGGATTCATAGTTCCTTCTAGAATCGCGACAATTCATAGAAATGAAAATTAACAATTCAAAATATTGAATTTAGCTAGACTGCAAACAAGTGGCGATGGTCAATCATTAAGGAGTCAACCTTTGTTAAAAAGTACTCGGTTTCCTTAACAGTTTAACTCGCATACTAATAATGGCTATTAACATACGCAAACAAGCATCTTTTCAAAGTTCAGATTTATAAATTCCATTTTTTAGTTAAAGATTTCCTATTTATACTAATTTGAAGTTTTAGACATTACCCAGATTTACATCTTCCACCGCTTGCCCAAAAAGAAGAAAGCATAATACAACAATTATAAACAAATCTTAGAAAATTAGAAAATAAAAATACTCACCCAGATCTAGACCCTCTTCGGATCTGCAAAAGTGGAAAAGAAAATATCATATTCTCGTTTTTGAACCAAAAAAATCCGATCTAGAACCCACCTTCAACACCGAGTCTCCGTCCTGACCCTACCGTCGGTTAGAACTCAAAAACACCTCAAAATCGACAAGAAAATCGAAAGAAAATAACATGCAAGCAAAAACTTCACATAATCGACATGCCTCCAGTCGATTGATGTCGATTCAGGTCATCCTTCTCGTCGTCGTCGTTGTTGCGGTCGTAGGCGAATTGTGATGAGCTTCAGGTTTTCATTTTCTTGAGGCATATGCGAGAAATACAAAAATCGAAAGGAGTGGGTGTCGGTGACATAGAAGGGGGGATTATGACTTTTTTGTTTATGGGATGAAGTAGAAGAAATGAGAGACGAGAGATGGAGAGGGAGAGTGGATTGAGACGAGGGAGAAGAGGATGAGGGCGGCGCTAGTTTTTGCCTAGGGTTTTGTTTCTCTGAAGAAGAGAGGCGAGAGGAGAAGAATCGAGAGAGGGAGGAGTGAGAGGCGGCTGCCTCTTCGTTTAGGTTTAGGATTAAGGTTTCCAAAAGATGTTTATCTACCTCATTAATTACAAATACCAAAATACCCTTAGGGTTTCTAACTAATTATGTACCCATGCCGTCATGTTTTTGTGTATTTACGACACTACCCTTCCCCTTTCTCTGAAATAAAAAGGGAAATCCCAAATATTGTCGAGTCTGGGTTTTGAACCTACATTCGTCGACCACCAGTGCTACTGGAGTGTAGTCCAGTTGGTCTATAATGAAATTGTGATACATTGATATGTTCTATTTCTTTTCATCTGTGTTTCAAAGCATTCTTAATACTAAATTTTGAATACAAATAATATCCAATGCAGTCAAAATCGAGATTTTGATCGTAAAATCGTAGGATTTTAGGATTTTAATTAGCGATTCCGATCCTGATTTTACTATAAAATCGGTGGACCTTAAAATCGTTCAAAATCGGGATTAAAATCGTTAAAATCATAAAATCGTACCAAAATCGGGATTTTGATCCTATGTGAACAAAATAGGCAGTTTGAGCCAATTCAAAAGAAGCAGAACTGTTTTGGTAGAAAGGACAATGACGGAGATCTTCTCATATATTTTTCCTATAAAAAGAACATTTGGGAAAAAAACCTAATTAGGGTTCGGTCAACCCCTTTCCCTTCCCCTTGTTTAACTCATCGGTCAAATAGTTGTCATAATATTGTAAGTACGAAAGAATTAATATTATTATTAACACTTATTCTTAGTTTTAAATCATGCTTAGTAGACGATGTCGGAATACTACTTTGAATTAAACTACATATACACAACATGAAAAACAAGAGCCAAACCCCATGAGCTATATCCCTTTCTCATAAATGATTTTGAGTTATGCATTAAATAACAATTAAAATGATGATTTTGGAACATTAATCTTGAAAATTATCACTTTAAATTTTATATGTCTTTGTGTTATTAATGATTTACCTTATTGATATTATTATATAATAATTTCTATGTGGTACATAAAATCCTACGATTCTACAATTCGATTTTAAGATTCCGATTTTATCCCAGTTTTTGATTTTAGGTAAAATCCCGATTTTGACTGCTTTGATAATATCTAAGTTAGGTTAGTCAATGCGTTTGACCGTCAAAGTTAACGGTCAAACATCGAGTTTGGCCAATTTCGTTGTTTTGATGTATAGTTTGGTCCAGGATGTTAAAGATCGAAAAGATTGGCCATGATATTTATTATGGTCAAAGTTCAGGCCATTGATTTGGTAATGGCTTTTAAGCTCACATTGTTTAGGCAAAAAGATCGCAACTGCGTAGGGGAATCCGGATGATCCATCTGAGGATGAGATCAATGTTGGAGTCGATCATATCAGCTGGGAGGTGACCTGTTTCAAAGAAGGAAGTGGCCAAGTTAGCAGTGCTCTTTCCAACAAATTTCCACAATTTTTGGTAGAAAAGAGCCTGGAATCTATCAGGACCCACGTCAGAAAAGGTTTCATTCCAAAAATCGATGCGATTCCCATGCTCCCATGCGTAGGACCAACCTAACACAAGCTATTATTATTGTAACTCTCCTCGCCTGGCGCCTGCTCTGAATGCGCATGCGTCGATGCAACCAACGGTATTTCCTTAGGAGCCCCACCCAAGAATGAGAAACCAATTGGTCACATCGGTACGAGTCATGGGAATGATACCTATTTACAATGGATCTCGGTAGGCCAAGCAAGACAGATGCTTTTTTTAGGTTATTCTAAGACTTCCTCTTTCTTTCGGTCTTACCTTGTGAATATCTAATATATTGAACGGGAAAAGAAGTTGTAAGAGTTCTCTGACACGCCAAAACACAACCCAAACTGCGACCAAGTATAATCGCAGTCCGGGAATGTAGTAAAGTGGCAAGTTCTATTATCAACCCGGGGTCTAGATCTATTGCTTACTCCGTGAGTATTTATTATCTAGCCAACTAAGTCAAGTGGTTGTTGTTTTAAGCAAAAGCAGAAAGAAAGCATGAATTGGTACGGTTTTCTCAAGCAAAGAAGAGTCACTCGGGAATGAGTCCCCCTAGCTCCTTAGTTAGGTCTCAATTGTAATTACCCTGGGTTGATTTACTGTTGATTAGACTGCGGAAGATCCGACAGTAGCTTGGAATCTCTTAAGCTGACTAAGCCCTCTCAGTCTAACTACCCGGCAGACGACTAGTCTTCACCGGGATAGAAAGCTGAAGCAATAAGCACAGAACTCCACTACTGGAATTGGATTACAGTACAAAGCAGTAAACTGGCTAACTCTCATATAGCCAAGCTCCTACTACCGAATGATGAAGCTCTAACAACCTAATCAGATTCTATCTATCTCAGGTTGCAGCAGAAATCAAGAAAAGGTGATCAGACTTCAAACAATTCAATAAAACATGCATCATTCGATTAAAACCAAACAGTATAATCATCCCAAGTCATTACAATCAAATCCCTAACACATGAAACTAGGTTTCTTCATACCCAAGTGAGAGAAGGGTTCTACTCCATAGAGAGAGAGAGAGGAAAACAGAGTACAAAGCAGTCATACTCATAACAATGGGAAGAATCTGCTCTGGGATGATGATTTCCACTCCTATGACGATCTCCAAGCTCGATTTGATGAAACCCAGCTCCAAGATTGCTTCTAGGATGTGTTCTTCGCACTTTCTCTCTCTAGGGCTCTGTTTTTGCTCTGAAAATCCGATTTCCTCTGTTTTTGCTCGAATCTGCCTCAAAACCCCGATTCTGGACGAATTACGGTCAGAATTATGACCGTAATTGTGGTCTGCCCGTAATTGCCCAAAACGGCGTTTCGCCTGACTCGGAAGAAGGTATTCAAGGTCGTAATTTTCCAATTACCGCCAATAATTACTTAATTACGACCGTAATTGTGGTGACTCTTGCCCGTATTTGACTCTGCGACAGGAATTCTGGAAATTAGGCTCGACATTGAAATTACGGGCATGCCAAGGACAATTATGACCGTAATTGTGCAGGGGCTGCCCGTAATTTTCCCTTTAAAGCGCAATCCGACCTCCAAATGACCCGAAACTTGCGCCTATGCACCTCTTTACTTGCTAGGACCTGCAACACGCCAAAACAACACAACCTAGCGTAAAATAGGCCAAGGAACAACAAATTCGAGTTAAAATGATCAAGAAACGAGGGTGCAAACATGTGCAAATCCGATGTTATCATTCTCCCTGATTAATTTTTTGGAAGCAGTTCTTGGGCATAACGTCCAAGTAAGGAGTGTCATCCTTCTTATACAACTATGTGTAGAACTCCACTATCCCCTCTTCAAGCTTGACAGGATCCTTAGCCCATTCTCCACTACTTCTTTAAGAGCTAGAATCTTATTGCGTCTGCGTCGATGGGTGGCCTATTAATGGAAGTAGGATGAGTTTTGTTCTCCCAGAGTGACCCATTTTGTTGTGTCCCTTTGAAACCACGACTTCTTCCTGACCAAACAAAGAATCCGAATCAGCTTCCAGCTTCAAGAGACCCGGATTCACATCTCTGGTAAGCTTGATTTGGTCTCCTTGTAGCCTAGCTAGAAGTTTTTCTTCCTGTGTTGGAGAATGCTGAAGACCGTTGTATTCCAGATCTGCAACATCTTCTTTCCACATTTCTGCAAAACAATCTTGAAAATGCTGATGGAGTAACCATGTCTCTTCAAATGAAAAGGGTTGTTCCTTCTGGCAGGTCTATCTTGAGAGGAACTGGAATTCAGCACAAAGAGGTGGTCTGAATGAATCTTGGGGAGATGCTGCACCATGGTGTTTGGCAAGGAAGAATTCCACTTCACATTTCAAAGTGATTTGTCTATCCTGCTTTTCTTGAAAGACTGGTTTGGTTCTCCTCTGTATCAAATGTATCGAGCTCTAGAAAATGTCAATTCCATAAGGTTAGCTAGGTCGATCCAATTAGCAAGTCGTTTGCCTCAATTTTTCCAATGGAAACCGGTAAGCATTGAAGTCACCTGTGACTAACTAAGGAAGATATAAGGTTTTGCTAGTCTGAATGAGGTTTTCCCATAGCTGCTAATGGAACTTGTACTCTACCATATACACTGGTGAGCAGCAAATTACGGTGCCCTGCACTAGAAATTCTTGTTGTAATATGTTCTTTACTAGTTTCGATCAACAAGACGTTAAAATCTTCTGGTTTCCAAGCCAACCTGATCCCTCCTTTCTTCTATCTGCATCAATTCTAGAAACCTCCCCAAATCCCAGCCTATTGCATAATGAGTTGGAATGATCACCTCTTATCTGAGTCTCGAAGATAAAAAGAAATTGGGGCTTGTAGTTATGCACTAGCAGCTTTATTGCTCTTCTAAATTCTCTGCTACCTGCACCACACATTCGATGCTAGGATTTTGAAATTTAGTTGACTAGACATAGATAAACGATTGTAAAGGGAACAGAGGCTGTTGATATCGCCCAAAGGTTCATACATTTGTCATGAACCCTGCCACGTGTTCTGGCTGGGAAACCTCGACTGCTGTTTGTGGAATCAGTTACTTTTCCAGCTGCTTTTCCACCATAACCACATCATTTTGTTTCCCACTCCTAAATATTAGAAACTCAATCTCCTTACTTTGAGTGAGGATGAAGAATTCTCGATGGCCTTCAGCGTGATTGGGAACCTGACTTCGCTCTTTTTACTGGGTGAATCCCTTTTGTGGCGGTGGTAATCTAGAGTGGCTTCTTTATCCCCTTAAGATAGATTCCTTTATGTTGGAGTTGATAGAGAGCTTTCCAATTGCTTCTTGGGGTATTTTTGGCGGGTAGAGGATCCATTTGAATTTGGATCCAGATTTTCCTTTAGACTAGTCACCAAGGGTGGGACGGCCATATCGTGAATTTTCGTATTATTTGGGCCTAGAATTGGGGCCGAGGTCTGCACCATTGATCCTAATAAGAGGCATGGGTTGGATCCATTAGTTGGCTTCCGTTGGTCGGGCTTGTTTTGTCTGTTTGTCTTTATGCGCCCTATCGCCTTCTATTGTTGAGAAGCGCGGTCCAGTCTTCTTCATCCCGTTGGGGACATCTCCATCATTCATATCTTGATTCCCTCTTTTCGTAATTACTACCCCTTTCTTCAGATCCACCTTGGCTTCCTTCTTTCCTTTTGTATATGCAACGAAGTTCCTCTGATTAATTCGACTTTCCCTGATGATTTAGCATTACTGGACTTGATTTCGTGTTAGACATCAAAGGAAGGTTCTTTTGATTTCCTTATTTAATTTCATTTTGCCTATTGGGTGTGCCTGATTTCTACATAAACTACATCCATGGACCATCTAGTGGGTGTCTCCAACGAATAATCCGTTAGCGAGGTTGTTGTCTTGTCACCGCCAATAGTTAAAATATGATTAACATTCTTGATAAGTAAAATGTGGCATTAAAAACATAACAATCTTTCTTCTTCGTCTTAGCGATGAAAAAATCGAAGATGAAAATCATTAAGCCAGATAAAAATGATGGAGCACAGATCGACTATTGTGTGCGAGATGTTGCCGAGCCCCAATGCACGACCATCTTCTTCATGTTAGGATTAAAAAACGTATGGATTATATATAATTTGAGATTTCAGAATTCAATGTTGTTCAGAATTCAATTTGAGATTAGCAGAGACAAAGCTGGCCAAGGCCCCCACAATGCTCGAATGTCCAAGACCTTGCACGTAAACGAGAATGACTTTAATGAGGGCCACCTGGTGGTGGGAGCAATGAAACGACCGTTTCATGCACTGGAGGATGATCTGATGGAGGACCCATCTCCTAAAAGATAATCTGAAAAAGAGGAAGAGGAGACTGAAGAGGTGGAGGTTGCCAGCCCCGAATTGCCCCAAATGGATAAATGAGTCTAATTTCCTAGAATGTGAGGGAAATTGAGCCATCACTCACATTCCAAACTGTTGCAGGGTTAATTCATTCCAATAAAACGGAGCTTATCTTCTTTTCATAACAAGATCGAATCGGAGTGTAGTCTCTCGACGAATGCAGGGGTTAGGTTTGGATTCTTATTGTTTCTTTGGAGATACGATGAATGCATCTAGTGGTCTGGTTGTAGCTTGGTCCCTCGGAGTTTATGCTTTTGTGTTTTAACATTCCGATTTCTCCATTTGTATTCAAGCTAATGAGGAAGATTTTTCTTACGTTGTGGTTTGTGTTTATATTAGTTGTAACGAGTCATTAAGAGCCAGTCAATTGGCTCAACTTCAGAGCATTTGTGAAGAAATTCATCCACACTATGTGGTAATAGGTGCTTTCAATTCTATGCTAAATGAGAATGAAAAAGATGGCGGTAATCCTTGGAATATTGCCCAGTCAATCGACCTCCATAATTTTGTTCATTACCTAGGACTCAATGATCCGGGATACCAAGGCGATCGATTCACTTTGATGAATAAACGAATGGGCTCTACTTGTATACGCGAGTGACAGGATAGGGAACTCAGTTCCTTGTCTTGGATTGATCATTATCCGGACACCCTAGTCAAACAATTCACGGATCAGGGATATGATCATCGAGCTTTGCTCCTATACGATAAGACCTATGTCTGGAATAGTCGACCCCTCTTCAGATTTGATGCTCGTTGTGCAGATAATTCAAAGGTCATGGTTATCGTGTCTTATGTTTGGCACGAGGAACTCCAGGGGACTCCTATGTACCAGCTTTGGGACAGACTGAAGAAACTCAACCATTTTCTCTATGATTGGAGTAGGGCGGGTGCTACTAATTCACTTTGAAATATAAGGACCCTCCAAACTAGTTCACTCGATTAATTGGGATGAGGTTAGGGTGAGACCGAGCTGAGTCGACAATTGGAGGTGGAAGAGATTCGCTGGCAACAAAATTCATGGGTTCGTTGGCTTAAGAAAGGCGATAAGAATACGTCGTATTTCCATACGATAACAAGGGCTCGAAGAAAAAAGAACTTTGTGCCCGGGCCATGAAATGACAGTGGGGAATGGATCATCAAGGAAAGAGGGAAGGCTGACATTGCCATAGATTTTTATCAAACTCTCTTCGCCTCAGAGAATCAAGTATTGAACATGGAATCTAGGGTAGCAGATCTACCAATATCCCGTAGTGTATCAGCGAAAATGAATGCTAGTCTTAGACATATGTCCTTCCTAATAAAATTCGTAAAATAGTCTTATCTATGGACGAAAAAAATGATTTCATCTGTGGACGAAAAATAGTGGAGAATGTCTTGCTAGGGCATGAGTTTATGCACCACTTGAAAAGACAAACCCGAGACAAGAATGATACATGGCTCTAAAGGTTGACATGGAAAAAGGCCTACGACATGGACAAATTGTGCTTTAAGTCTTCCTTATGAATGGCACACCATCGTGGTTCTTCATACCCTCAAGAGGTCTTCATTAGGGAGACCCGCTATCCCTTCTCCTGTTTTTGATTTGCACGGATGGGTTTGCGGCGTTCCTTTCGGAAGGCCACTTCTGAAGGGACGCTAGAGGGGGTTAAAGTTGCTCCAAAAGCTCCACGTATTTCGCATTTTTTTTGCAGATGACTCTTATATAGTCCTCATAGGTTCTCTACAGGAATGTGAGAATTTGATTGAGGTTTTTAATGAGCACAAGTAACTTAGTGGCCAAAGGGTTAACTTGGCTAAATCGGCAGTATGCTTTAGTAAACATATTTCTATGTCAGACAAAGATTTTCTTGCTCGGATTTGGGAGTCGGGGATGTGGGGGTCCATGATATATCTAAGATTGCCCACACTGATAACCTAATCTAAAATGGCTACGTTCCGATTTTTGGAGGAAAAACTGTTCGGTCGGCTTCAGAGGTGGAAGCAAAGGACATTGTCTTAGGCAGCAAAGGAGACATTGATTTGCCAAGGAGAGCGTCGCTGGTGTGATCTAAAACTTAGGAACTAGTTTGACCCGACAACTTCAGGATGTTTAGGATAGGTTGATCTGGCATGACAGGTGTGAGAGGATTTTCACTGTAAATCGACCTATCATTTTGTAGTCTTGTTAGATAAGCAGGATGGCCGGTGGCGATCCACGACTAGTTGGATAGATAGTTCGAACTGGATATGGTTGTGGGAAGCCCATATTCCACCTAATTAAAAGTGTTTTTATGGCAAATATTTCACGAGATCCTTCCAACGACGAAAGCCCTAATTGAGAAGGAAGTTCATGTGCTTCCCAGGTGCCCGGTTTATTGGGCAAAATTAGAAACAATGGAACATTTGTTCCTTGATTTCCCACTAAGTTATTGTAATCAGGTGCTGGTGGTTTCGGGATTCCGTAGAAAATGCTTCTTTAATTTTATGCCTATACTCGAACAGTTAGTGTAAACATATATCTAAATAACACTTAAAGCAACTACAATGTCCTCTCTGCCATTCCTAATCATTATTATACTTAAGTATATCAAATTTTATTGATAAAAAAATCTTGAATTCTCTGCATCTTATCAATTCTGCTATTTACTGTAAAAAAAAAAAAAAGAAATTTAATTCTTGCATCCGTCGACATGAAAGATGCGAACTGCGCACCATGTATAAGAGCCGCACGTTCACGATAGCTGCTTCCACAACATCGATAGTAATTAATTAATAATTATAGCTTTTTCCATTGCAGTTAAACTCGTGGATGTGAATGAAGAAAACTACATCCTTTGAAGTACCTGCATGTCAGTAGGCTTGTCTCGATCGATCGATCTCTCTCCATCCTTAACCCCCAGTTTCCATTGAACTCTCACCGATATATATATAATATATGGTCCCATTTCGTCGACTCTCTATCGCAAAGTTGTTGTTAGCCAACTGTACCAATCCTTTAATCAAGCTGTATTCCTTAATCTCAAAACCCTTTTACTTTTAGCAGGTTAAGAGAGCCATGACGGCCATATATACAGGGAACGTGAAGTTTTTGTCTTGATGTTGGAGGGGGTGAAGAGAAGACGAACAAGGAGAAATAATAATTGATTAAGTCGTTATCTGGATGTTCTCTTCTGTATGTAAGACACACAAATGTATAAGGGAGATCAGCTGTGTCCGATCTGAATGGGACCAGCGAAATTGCAAATACAAATTGGCCCATTATTCATCATCAGCTGTCTCCTCCATGTCTCTCTCTATCTAACACTGTGCGTTTGAGACACAAACAAATCTTCACATCTGGTGCCTTCCCATTTGGTGGAGCTAGTAGTTGGGCTCCTCAGAGGCCTTGAAGCAAATGTTGGGGAACCCTAAAGACAGCAACGGTCATAAATAAAAAGTTCAATTCCCACTTTTCCAGACATTCTTGTTGGAGATTTACAGTTACATGTGGCTTTTACTTGCATAATAAAAGGAACCAAACAACGTCACATTTGATGAAGATTACTTGCATAATAAATGGAACCAAACAACGTCACATTTGATGAAGAGATAGG